AAAAAATATTATTGTGAAGTCTTTGTGATGTTTTAGTTTAAGAAGTTAAATGATGAAAGTAATTTAAAAGTAAAAGAACATTTTGACAGTAAGCTTGAAAAAAAAATATTAAAAGTTAATGTTGTGTATTAATTAAATAAAAATACAGTGCAAAGATTCCAGCAGGCAGCAGATTAGAGGAAAAAAAAAAAAGATGCATGCTTGTGGGAAAAACAATCTTCTTTGTGCTTTAAGTATACATCATAATATGATCCTATAGTAGTAGTTAATTTTTCCTGTTGGGAGAAAAGTAGTTAAGTTTTTGTTATTCATAGGTTTCACCAGCTGGTTTTACTCCATTGGAAATATTCCCTTGGGTAACACTGATGGCACTTCAGGAAGCTTCAGGAAGTTTGCTATTAATTATATGCAATAATATTTGAAAGTTTCATGACATTGATATCAGAAAAATCACAGTAAGATTTTTCTGACAAGAGATCTGTGATGTTTTGCATAGTTAGGTATAGCTGTGCCTTGGCCCCTACCTTCCAAGCAGCATGAGCATGCTGAGAATTTAGCACCTTCCCCAAAATACCTTTATTAGGTTATCCTACTTCTATGTTTTAGATCCAAATAATGTCATGAGGTAAGTGTAGTGAAATACAGGGGCTTTGTATCCTCCAGAAACCCTGCTTTGGGATGAGTGCTGGCAGAGCCAGGTGCCATATTTAGATATAGGAGACACGCTGTGAGGAAGCAATTTTTCCTAATGCAATTGGAATTTGAGTGGCTTCAAAGATGCTCCAAAGGCTTATAGGATGACTTTGGACACCCACCTTTGTACTGTGCTCTTCTGAGCCACTAAACAGAGCAGCAGGAGGGCAGTCTCACAGGGTGATTTATTTATGAAACAGGAGCTGTCTGCTTAGGTCCACCAACTTATCCTCATTAAAAAGGATTTAATGAAAGACAGATAGTGCTCTTGTATATAGTAAGGATTTAAGTCATTATGGCCCTGGAACCACAGGTCTTGGTGTCTTTGGATCAAGTCTTCAACCAGTTGATTAAAGCCAGATGCTGCAAATGTGTGAGAATTTAAGCACTGGGCCACAGTAAATATTGTGAGCTACTCTCAGAAGGAAAAAATGTTTGTTTCCGGAGCTATTTTTTAACCACATGCTTTCCTTAAGGCACGGAAGTCTGAACTATTTAGACTGAGTTGCTGCCCAGACTTAGTCCTTATATTTCCTACTGCACATAATATGCTCAACTGGAAATTAACCAGACTCTGGAAAGAGCTGGGACTAACCATTCATTCAGGAGCTTGAGTTATCAAAAATAAAATCCAGAGGGAAAATTAAAGGGAATATCTGCCAAGACATTACTCCTGTTGCAGGAGCTATGTCAGCCTGAGCTTTCAGCATGTTTTCAGGCACAAGATGATGTGGACGATATATGGGCAGGCAAAGGACATGCATGTGTTTATCTATTGCTGGAATTTATGCCTAGCATGTTTCTATCTCAGATACCCAATGTATGACATATGTGAGAGTGTGGGGTTTAATATTTAATACTACACAAGCCAAATGATGAATGCTCATATTGACTTTGGATCTGGATCAGGTCTTTAGTCCAGTTCACGCCACAACAGCACAAATGCAAAAGTAAGCATCACAAAGAGGCAGAATATAGTTCAGAGAAACAAGGGGAAGGTGCACCAGTTAAATCCTATACTGCTACCAAGGAATTGCTCAAGAAGTAGTCTTTAGAGTGTTGACAAGGGGCACTTCTGATCTATGCTTGCAATTCGTTTTCCAGTGTCCACTGAAAGAAATATGACTGTACCCTATATAGGAATCCAGCATGAGAGGTTAGGTAGCACAGACATGTAGTTTCTACAGAAACATTCATAGCTGAGTTTGTCTGAATTCAAAGTGAAAATTAAGGCAAAATTAATGGAAATGCCTAGACATATTCCCAAGTATCTGATATATGTCACTGCATGGCTCTTCTCATACCAGAAAAATGGTAATTATAATTTTTTTTTTTGTCCCTATGGGTCATCACCTCATTTCTAGGTTTAATTTGACTGCTTATATTTAAATTAAATCTTGATGTATTGAAATTATATTGTGATGGCTAATACCTGCTGTTGAAGAGTGGTAGAGCAGCAAGAGAAGACAAGTTTTCTAGTCTTGAAAAATTCTTAATGCCATAAACAGTAATAAGGTACAAACCAAGAAGAGAATGAGAAAAAATTCATTTACAATGCAATTTAATTATATTAATTTACTTCAGAATTTAAGCAGAATTTTGCTTGTGAGCATGCAGCTGAGTTCTAACAAAGCTGCAAGTGAGAGCATGGCCTTGTAGCCACAGACAGTGGATAATTGTGTCTCTTAGGGTTGTACAGCAAAAGCTCTCCATGGCATCCTTAAAATTACAGCATTTGACTATACATCTGTAAATGACCCTACATATGCAAAGATGTTGTGTGAATATGTGTTGAAGAACCACAGATATATTAGCAAACTTCAGCAACCTATGTTATAATCACTTAAACCTACTTATAGCATTTTAATCCTAATTAAATAACAGGCAGCTGAAGTCATAGAGCAAGAAAATTTAAAACATTTAATAAAAATACTCTATTGATATATCATAAAGCATTTTGTATTATAAATGTCTCTTCTGGATCCTTCTATCTCAAGAAAACTATCTGAATTTGATTGTAGATTATATTACTTTGTAAGTAATGAAGCAAGAATACTTCAAGAGGCACCTGCAAAAACGAGTTTTCCATGAGCTTCATTGTTCACAACAGAAAACCTGTATCAACTGAATATTAATCTTAGCAGGTACGTGGACAATGAGGCATTAAGGTCTTCTTTTTACCAGGTGATGTACACTGCTGTAGATGTACTAATCAACAGACATAACATGGTTGAATGTTCAAAGCATATGTTTTTTACAACAGGACTTGGGAAAAGGCCTGAGGTTTCTTCTGTTCCACATGTTTTTTACAACAGGACTTGGGAAAAAGCCTGAGGTTTCTTCTGTTCCCTACCCTGGCTCAGGAACATTCTCCCCATACCTGGAACAGCCCTGTGAATACAGACAGGGCACATGAGCATAAACACTGAAGAGTACATTGTACCTAAAAGAAATAAGAACCTAAATCTTTAAAGAAGTTGTCACTTTTCTACCACCAAATTCACCATGTTCTGTTAGACTGCTTAGAACAGAAACAGAATACCTTATGTGATTAATCTGGAAAATACAAAAGGGATCTTTAATGCACAATTCTGACCTTTCCAAAATATGTTAGAAAACTAACAGTGCTCTTATATAAAGAGATGTAATTTGGGGGGAAAACAAGCCTATAAATATGCTAGCTTTATTTTTCTTCCTTTCCCTTGCACCTTTTGAAAGAATAAACAGCAGGGGTTCAGAAAGTGCTGACAGCTATTGAAAGGATACCTCCTCCTGGATGTGGTATAGTGAAATGCACAGAATTGTATGACAGCAGTAAAGGGGTCCTTGCTGAGTAGAAGGCTTCTGAAAGTTAGATCCTGCCTGGTGCACATCAGCCAAAGTCCACTGTCTTCAGCACGGCTATTGTAATTATTGTCAGCTTATTATTAGCAAATAATGTTACAAAAAATATTTGTAACATTTACAAATACAAACCACGAAGATTTAAAAAGAAAGATAAAACACACATCTCAGATTCTACTACAGAGCTAATAACACATTTTTCTATGGCCCTGCAGCAAATTTTGCATTTAAAAAACTGCACAATTTTGGGCCAGAGCAGTTTTCACAGTTCTACACAAGTGTAGCATTCTTTTCCACAACAGTTTTGTTTTTCATACGATTGAAGGAGGTATTATTTTCAGTGTGATTAATTAAATCATTATTAATATTTAGGGATTTATTTTTTAGTACTCTGAGGGCATGAGCATCAAAATTAGTGGAAAACAGATAGCAATCTATTCTGTTGGTATATGAGGTATCACACAGAATTAACAGGAAATCTTTGAAGCCAGGGATCCAGGTGAGAACAAATGTAGTCTGAGAGCATTGAGCAATAGACGTTTCTTTTGGAACAGTGAGGGAGCATACACACTTCACTGTCTTCTCATTTCTGCCTCTTTCTCACATAGGAGTTGATCAAACTCTATGAAATATAACGAAGACCTGAATTCGTCATGTGATTCCTAATGATGCTTTCATACCAGTGGTGAAGAATGACTTCACACTTCACAAATAATCTTTGTGACTCAGCCCAAATTTCTTAAAGCTTTATATCAGACTGTCAGGAAGACTACCTTATTTAGATTTCTCCTTTCCAATAGTCCATAGGTGTTTCCTGAAGTACGGTGGGTAGATGGACTGTCTCCATCTAATTAAAGTGAATGTCTCAGCTAGTCTCCTCTTTTCTTCCTTTCCCTTTTTCTAACTCAGATAAAACTACTTCTATTCGGTCATAAGGCATTGACATTTTCCTATTTCAAATTTCATGTAGTTTAGATCTCTGGATAATGCAGGCATATTTAAAACAAGGACATTAAGTGAGATGAAGTTTTGTCTGTCCGTCTTACTTAGTTTAACATCAGCCAGGACTCAAAATATTATTTCCAGAAGGCTAAATACATGCCAGCATTACTGAGGTTGCTTGCCCAGGAACAAGCTGTATTTGACATAAGAATCTCCACTTATGCAATTAAAATTAGCTTTGTACCTGGAAAAATGAGTGATAATTACTGTTATAAACATGTTATCTTCATGGAGAACACAAAGGAAGAAGGAGTCCTGGAAATCCTCCACAGATTAAAACAGATACAAGTGTTGGATCTCACTTTCTTATTAATAAGAAACTCCTTGCTGTGTTACAAGCAGATCTGAAAAACTGCCCTTAGCTGATTGCTGTATTTCTAAGTGCTGCATACCAATGGAATTTTGCCTTTCACTCAGATGTAATGGATATAAATAATTTTAACTCTTGCTATATTTTCTCCTTTTGGCTGTGGCCTTGTTCCGGCAAATTTGTCAAGTTTAATAAGAGTTTAAACATTCAAGTAAAAATTCTGGTTGAAGTTGCTCTATGTTTGGCTCCAAAAAATCTCTGGTCTTGGAGAATTGATTGTCTATGAGATAACCAAAGGAAAAACAGAGTAAGGCACCAGATTCAGAAAATCAGGACTTAAAAACTGCTTTTCTCCTTTAAAGAAGAAATAAAAATGGGGTTTATCTTGAACAGCTTTCCTTCCAGATAAAGGAAAGTATAAATACTACAATGTGTAATTAGGAAAAGTCTGTTTCCCTTAAGAAATACAACTATGACTTGCTCAAACCCAGAGCTGCACAGAATGGAATCTTTAGCATTGCAAGCAGAGTAGAAGGGTCAGTCACATCTCCAAAATACTGCCTTTCAGTCTGTCAGTTCTATTTTGTAAGAAGGCAGAGATATGCAGAAATGTTTCTTTGCTTTACCCACAAGCTCCTTAAGAGCTTATCTATTGATATTTATTAGAATTTTTTTTTAATTTTTCTTCTGGTTTTAATTTTTAGTAAGACACACAGAAATTAGTATCATCATGCCAGAAGGCTGTGCTTGTATGTTAGTTTGCACTATATTGTATCCCAAAAAGGAGACAGGAGTCTGAATATTCAGGTCAAGAGACCTCACGCACAGCATGTGAATAGTTTTTTAAATACAATTTTAAAAAACTAGCAATAGCTAGGAATACAAAGTCCTTTGGAGCACAGATAAACATACAAGTAGCAAGTGAACATGCAGGCAACAAGATGAAGTATTTTCTTCCCTCAACAGCTTCAAAAATCCAGGAATCCTGAATTTTTCTTTGCAAACTAACCTGTCTTGTAAATCTGCTCGTCTAGGAATTAATTGTCTTGATGTAAAGATGGATTTTGTCCAGTGAATCTAGAACTCGGTCACTAAATTTTGAGATATGTGTTGTGTGTGCTGCTTCCTGCAAATTTTGTTCTCTCAAGTCAAGTGATCTGTGCTGAAAGCCTGTATTTCTTTATACAGGCCTGTCACAGTCTCACAACTTCATGCAGTTACAAATTATGTGTGAATGAATAGCTCTGCAGCCATCAGGAACTGTAAGATGCTGAGAATATGTATGAAAGTTCATTACCCATGTTTGGGTAATGAAGTGGGTGTTGAAAGAATTTCCTAAAAACTCAATAGGGTCATCAAGCAGACATGCAGGCCATGTTGCTCCAAAATGTGGTAAACTTTGAAGTATCAGGGTGCCTAGTGATGCTGTAGACTTAAATTACAATACTTGCATGAACAGCCACCCAGAAACCCACTACAAGACACTGATGGTACAGTTTGAGACCTCAACTTTTAAAATATGGTCAGGAAAAAAATACAACACTTTAGGTCCTGAGCTCAGAAAATGTATGCTTCTTCCTCCAGCATCAAGGTTCAACACCACAGACTCCTGGAATTTCATTATTAGAGCTAATATACACTCAGAGGCTACCACCAAAGGACATGGATCTCAGTTTTGCAACTGAGAGATCACAGCCCCCATCTTAAATCCCACACAAGCCTTGATTGTACCTTAAACAATCAGTAAAACTCAAAAGTCAGCACAAAGCATTTAAATTTCTTGATTAAAGGAGGTCAACAACCTTGCTTAGCAAAACTTATAGTTATAAATATTTGTGTGCATATGTGTGCTCTTCCAAACAGCGCATGAATCATTCAGTAATTACAAAAGGCCAGGCGTAACCAGTGGCATATAAAAATGCAATATTTAGAATAATGATTTATTAAAAACCTCAAATTCTTTCAGAAGATATGTCGGTTTTATGAGTTGCCATGCTGATAGGAGGCTCTGGGAAACATACCAAAGGAGCTTACAGTCTAGATGGAGAATTAGTGTCTTTCTCAGTGTGTACATGAAAAAAGTAACAATATATTTGTGTGAAAAACAGATTTTTTTTTTTTTACCTTTTATTTCATGGTCTAGATTAACTCAACCTGCAATTAGATGCCAAGTGAGGTAAACCCTTGGCTTTGTACAATAGAAAAAATTCTTAAAAGTTCTTGTGATGAGTTCAGATTGATCAGAAATTGCCTCAGATTCTTCTATACTTCTCTGAGAGTAAAAAATCTTCCTGGCTTGTTTCCATGTGGTTTCAGTTTTTGATAATAACATGCCTCTCCATATTCACCCAAATTTCCAAGGACAATTTCAGTAGTCTGTAAGATTACACAAAAAATGTCAACTAACATCTGTTCCTGTATGAACTCATAAATACGGGGATAGTCAATAGTCAGGTACACAAAATTATAAATGTCATTGCTTTACACTCATGGCTTTCAGACTCCTAATGGGGGAGCTTGCAAAGATCAAACCTTTTCATGCTCCAAACAACTGGGATTATATTGCCTGTATTGCCAAGAATATGAAACAAACAGGCAATTCCAATGTTGTTGTAAGAGGTTTTCATTATTTGTCAATTTATTATTTGTTAATGAACTGGTGGTTAAAAAATGAAAAAACAATTCTAGATACTATTCCTTGAAAATACTAATGAAATTTAAGTTGTTCCCAGAAGCAGTACCTTCTGAAGCCTTTCTGTGATTAACAATTAGGGAATAGGCTAAACTGCATTAAAGAGGAATAAACTTGCAAAATTACTAAATCCACACAGCTTTTTGTTTTGTTTTGTTTGGGTTTTTTGTTTTGTTTTTGTTTTTTTTAAGTAGTGGAAATGCCAAGATTGGAACAATTCTTGGCTTACCATCGCATGACAGGATGATCCTATTGATCAGTCAAGTGAAGTTTGTCACCGACAAAATAAATAGGAGAGCTGGTAGAGGATTCATTTGATAAAGAATTAAAGATGAAGAGTGTGATTAATGTAAATTAAGATTTTTTTTTTTGCAAAGATTTCTTTTTCTGTCTCTAAAGAGACAGAAAAAAAAGGTTAATAAAGGCAACTGTGTAGATACAGTGTACTAGAGATTTTATATGTAGCAAGATAATATTACAACTAAAAATTCTGCACATTTAATTTAAAAAAACAACAGGTAACTTATATATCTTGAAAGGAAAGTGTTAATAAAAACAAGAAACAAAGTGTAATATTTCTAACAGAATTTGTCAGCCATCAGAAGTCTCTGCTAGAAAATAACTTTTCTCATAATGCAAGAAAAAATATGGCACTAAAATTGTTTTAACTCTGCCTTTGAAATTCAGAGTTAATATAGGCAATTACCACAAAAGGATAAAGTAACCTCTTTAGCTTCACATAACTGCAGGTTTCAAGTAAGCTAAACTGGGCACAAGCAAATTCACAGGAAAAATAAGATGCTTTCAGGAGAACAAATGAACAAATATTAAAGCAACCAGTGAAGAAAAAGAACATTTTTTCAACCACAACAAAAGATACACCCAGTAAAGAAGAAGTAATCATAAACAAGAAGAAAACCCCTGTATTATACAGAAAGCCAAGCTAACACCAAATGATCGTTTTAGCTTCAGAATCCATAAATCTATAACTCCATAACTCTGTTTTCTGTCTATATACTGAGGCAGTTTTCTTTTAGTAGGACAAATTTTTTATTTTCCTTTTTTTTTTCTTCAATCTGGAAGTTATATTCCTGGAAGACTTCCTGTAAGGTATAGGAGACCAGTTTTTACATTTGAAAGATGGGAGAAGAGTGATGTCTCCTTTTGCAGACTCAAGGTCACACAGCATATAAAAAGACACATAATGGTATTGGTTTTATTCACTAGCAATGGAATTCATGGCATTTATGGCCATGTAATCAGCATTCTTTTTCTCACAAAACTGAAATATTTGCAATGTTTTCTGACCAGAATTCAACTTTGCTGTTGATTACACTTCATATAATATGTATCTCTCTGTTTCCAGAAAAATTCAAAAGCTGTAACAACAAAAGGAAAAAAAATCACATTAATTGGAACAGCTGCTCTTTAGTTCTAGAAAAAGAAAACATGAATAAAGATACTACAAAGTGTATTTTACTCTTAGATTATTTGATCTTTTATGATCAGTTGTTCTATACTTCCCTGTGATAATGAATACCTAGTCTACTTTCGCTGCTCATAGAAATTGCAAGTAAATTTTGAGAAAGTTGAGAAAGAACTTGTGTATCCCTATTTGACTTTTCTTTTAGAGAGCTCCACTGTGACAGTTCGTGCCTGTAATAATATTTATGTCGATGTGGAGCAATTCAGGATCAAGGTCCCTGAAGAGCTTATGCATATAACTATTGCAAAGTCAGTACAACCCTTTGTAAGTCTGCCAGGCAAAGCTACATGCATATATTAGAGGTTTTTTCCAATTTGCTTTCCCTTACTTCCTTCTTTTCATTGCCATTATTAATACATAAATTATATAACAGTAGCAGAATTATATCCTCTGTTTAAGAGAAGAATTAATAGGCACACATCCAATGCATTTTAATACAAGATTTTTGCTGTCTAAGTTATTGCAAATGTATATATACCTTTTACTTAGTAAGGGTGTTGTTTGCTTTTCTTTAAATAGACAGGTACTATTGGCAGGAAATAGAAAACAGTCAGACCAGGGGTTTTCTGGAGTGGAATTAATTTCTTCTTCCCTGTATGTAGTGTTTTCAGACTAGACAGGAACTGAAGGGCTCCAGAGTATCATTTTCTCAGTTGGCTGGACACAGAAAGCTGAAAAATTAATTTAATGTCTTTGAGTTGCAAGCCACTTAGACTGCTGTGAGACACAAATATAAAATGTTTGTGTTATTTATGGTGAAAAAACACTCCCCCACATACCCCCCACACCAAAACCTGCATATTTTAGATCACCTGAAACAACTTAGTAATAAGTAGCAAACAACCTAGAAAATAGATTACCATTGCTTTATCAGTTTCAGTATGGTAAGGCTGTCTTTCTATGGCCTACACATTTTACCCTGACATTTCTTGGCTTTAGCTATTCAGAACACATTCTCCTAAGAAAAAGAATAAATTGTACTGCCACTGTTGACTCAGGAGACCCTGGGATGCCTCTCTTACTGCCACTGACCAGTATTGTATTTTGTGGGTTAGCATCCACCACAAATATATGGAGCGCCTGTGGAAAAATCATAGTAGACAGAACAAAATATTGTGTCCAGCTGAAAATGCAGGACTAATTTTGATCAGACCTGAACATTTAGCTAACACAATCTCTATAAATCACTTTTGTGAAAAGCATTTCTTATCTGTCCCCCTCTAGACATAAGTGCAGCTGTTTTACTGTCTAAAATATACTTTCTTCTTTTGGCAGTCTGAGATGAATCGCAATGTCCTTTTCTCCAGACATACTATGATGATCAGTGAATGATGTCCTTCCTTTTTAAAAGAAGTCTTAAAAAGATACTACTTAAACTATCAGGGTATTAGTTGCCGTTTGAACCTGAAATACCTGATATGTTCCATCCTAGGTATTTTCTCCCAAGGACTTTTGCTATGTATTCTTAAAGGGTACAAGACTGAAATAGGCTGATAATATGGGCAATTTAAGTCTGTGACTGAAGTTTAGGACAAAAGGAACAAAAATGTACTAAACTAAAATTACGAGTTTTTGAAATAATATTATTTAATTTCATTTTTTTATAAATATGTGCTAATATGAAAATTAATTTAGATTTTTCAGAATCAGCCTTAGGGTTGGGACTGAAGAGAAATGCTACTTATAACTCCTCAGGAATGATGAATTTTCACGGATAACATAATGTAAAGCAACAAAATACTGGTCTAAGAGTATGAGCTGATTAATCCAGTATTAATTGTATTTGCAACTAATGTACTCATCATAATAAGCAAAAAAGAGTTTTCTATCTCCACCACCCTTCATGCTCCACCACTATGCTCATCACACAGATGTTTTGATGCCTGCATTGTTAACTGAAGCCCTTCTACAGGTGACAGATTTTTCTCTAAATGAAAGAGAATTTTTAAAAAGTAAACCCACCTTTTTTAATTTTGCAGTGTTCAGCCTTATGATGCATCTCAGGGCCCAGGAACATCAGGCAGTTCAGGAAGGAGCTATCCAGCAAGAATGGACCCTGTAGTGGAGTGCAAGAAGATTCTATTTTGAAATCCCAAAGCCATGGATCTGGGACGCTTGATTCAGAGCTATCAGGATGTGCCTCTACATTTTTGGGACCCCGCAGCCTATAGTTTTATGCTAAATCTGTAATCTTGAACCATTCTTTTTGAAGAATAGAGCCAGTATATTTTCTTTTAAAATCTGTATGAAGGTGGTGGCCTGCCTTCTTGCACCATGACATAATGGACTGGATGATTACCTGCAGAGGAGGAGACCTGTACCAACCAGAGAGTAGCTAAAACCCATGGCTCAGATCAGGTGAAAGAGTACCCTGCAGCTAAGTGAATGGCTTCTCTTAAAACTCTGCTTTCCTGGAAAAACAGGATAATTCAAAATTCACAGGAACAAAGAAAGGGTAACAAGGCAAACCATAATGTCTCTGCAGCCTGATGGCCACTATATTCTGTAGGTTAGTAACATATAGAGCAGAAATGTTACAAAGCTTATTTCTCAAAAGAAAGAAATCTATGTTTCAAAATTAGAGGTCTTATTTTTACAATGCTAATAGTTCTGTATATAATTTTTGATCTTAAAACTGCATTTTGAGGTGAGGAGCTGTGTGTTTATATTCATGTTCAGAAATAAAAATGTAGTGATATAATAGTTGAAGTGGTACAATGAAAATGCAAAGTATGAACCTAAGCAGTTATGTGCTTAGGTTCACACCTTCATTTTTACTACTTTAGGCAAGAATCAGTGTCAGCTTGACTATGATTTGTGTAAAATATACCAGTGAAGATTAAATCAAGTATCTGGGAAAAGGAAGTTATAATTATTGTTAGCTCAGTTGAAAGTCACTGCTTGTACCTCCAGTGGTTTTAGTTGGTTGCACTTGCTGTACTTCAGAAAAACCACCGTTCATTATTTTATATTAGTGAGCTGTTGAGCAGTCCATGTGTTTTCTTGCTACAAGCAGGTGTGATTCAATAGCAGGAAGGAAACATAAAGTGAAAACTTGATGGGGCAAATGAAAGGTGTCTGTTACCTCTGAAGTCTAAAACTTAGTAGGGTTATATTTTGGCACTTAGATTTGGAGACAAACAAGCTAACTTGTGGTAGAATAGTATGAGCTTATGTAGGGCTTTTGTTGTATCTTGTACAAAAGCCAAAATCCCTCTCTTAATGTTTAAGTTAAAAATGTTTAACTTAATGTTTATGTCAAAATGAACTCAAAAGCAGAGGTGCATAGCATAGGCTTCAGAAAAGTAAATCTCCATGTCTCAGGTATCATATATTAGTTGCATGTATTTTCCTTATGTTAAAAACTGTAATCCTAGAGGCTAGTTACTTTTGCTTTTAACCTGTCATCAGCCTGAGAGGTGTGCTCCTCTGGGGGTTACACACTTTCTTACGTTAACGTGTAGCCCCAGCTTCTGTTTTTATGGGATGATGAGAAGATTTGTTAGTAAAACTCCATGCAGGACTTTAAAAATGTAAATATATGTTTAAATGATTAATATTTCAATTGGTCAAAACAGCAACAGTCTCCTTTACAAATGAAATATTGCTCCTGTTCTTCATATTCAGCCAATATCCCGTATCGTTTTGCTTCAAGTGCATCAAGATGCGCAAGATCCAATATATAAGTAGGAAAACATGATGTACATCTAAGTCTACATCCAATAGATGACTATTTGAATCTATTTATATTTCTAAGTGGGTGCATGACTTTATCAGGTGAGGATATCCCTTGTCCTTGATATTATTATTTTAGCTTTAAGCATTTTGTCTGAATGAAAAATGTTCATTTACAAATGAATTTCAGAGGAGTCATGATATTTGCATATTAAATAACACCCACAGCCCTTTTTTCTCCTGCTAACAGGCATGACTACACATTGTAGGATGAGATTAATGAATGTGTCCTTGAATTACCTGGTAATGCTTAATAGAAACAAATAAAATCCACTTTTAAAACTGTGAAAGCCTGAACTTCAGAAAAATGCAGAAAAAATTACATTCCCACCCCAGATTAATGTTTTAAAAATACAAGCTGCATTTTAAGTAACTAATCCTTTACATTAAATACTTGTACTTCACCAGATATCTATTAATATTCAGACACAACATTGCCACCATTTAAAGTTAATCTTGCTTTATATGCCTGTATGCTGATGCTTGATAGCAGTAGAAATACTGAAATTAAGAGGTACATAAGTCACTTGAAAATGCATTCATAAAATTCATTTATACAGTTATGATAGCGTTCTCCCATCAAACTTGCTGCTGTCTTCACTCTCTTTATACATATTTTTTTCTTTAACATTATGTGGAATGGAAAATGTACCTATCCTTTCAGCAGTGCAAAAAAAAAAAGCAGAAAGTACCAGGAGAATCACAGTTTCTCTATCTTAATGCAAACTCTGTTTTCCTAGAAATTGATCACTTTTCACAGTTTTTCATATAGAAAAGTCTTTGAAACTGTGATTAGTTTGTAAACTAATTTGAAATATTGATATTGAATAATTATTAAGGAATATCTAACATAGCCCTTTTCTGACATTCTCTTAATCTCATATCTTTTGATGATGGGATTTCTTCATCCATCCATGCTGTGGAGACATCATTCATTTTTTGTAACCTATGTTGAACATCTCTGTGCAACTGTTCCATAGATTTTGCACCATATTTTGAAATTTTTTCTAGTGATGTTGTGACTCTCACTTGCATATCTGCCCTTTCAGGTTTTTCTACTAAGAGAAATGATGCACAGTGTTTAAAACATTCAAAAATGCTTTTAAAATCAGGATAAATAACTTTATGGGGAAGGAATTTCTTCTCCATCTCGAATTCCAGTACAATAAATGTTCCTGAGAATTTCACTCAAATAATTCATGACAGCTCTGACAAGAAGATTCGCAGTTATTACCTACATCACAGGAACAATAGAAACAGATTTAATCATCTCACTTTTGTTCTATTGTTCATCTATCACATACATCTATTATATTTACAGCTGACAAGAGAAAAAAAAAAAAAAACCAAAAACAAAACTTGAGTAATTAAAGTTTCCAAGAGAAAAGGAGGGTGAAGTAAAACTGCTGTGTTAGTGGTCCAGTGGTCACAGCCTTTTCAGAACATATGTGAGGCAAAATCAAACTCTCAGCACTGCAAAAAAGAAGCAGTAAGGTCAGGTGTTTAATGAGTGAGGTAAAGGGAAGTAGTGCAGGTGGCGAGAGACACTAGGGGAACCATTAAACAGATGGAGTCATAAGATGGGTGAATACAGTTCTAAACATTTTAGAAAAGATTCTCTGCTGCACTCTGTGATTTTCAGTTATTGAAACCAGGAAATGAAAGGCTAGGAAGGGCTGTGTCTATAAATACACCAGGACTGTTATTACTGGGGAGGATAAAGAGCTATTACAGTTAAAAGGCAACACTGACACAGTTATGAATGGTTATAAACTTGAGCTGAATACATCTAGTCTGAGAATTAGGATAGTTTTTCTAATCATCAGTGTAGTGGAACCACTTCTTAGTGCAAGCACTGGAAACATAAGCCTCAGCTAGATTTTGCAAGAAGCTCTACTAAATGTACTTCTGGGATTATAACCCTGAAAGAGGATTTGACTTGATGATGTGAGGAGCACCTTTTGAATCCTTAACTTTTAATTCCATGAGAAATAATGGAGATACTCCCTGTGACCACATGAGTAGAGCTCTGGATAGGCAAATTGTGTGGAATCGTTTCGGGAAAAAAAATTATTCTGCTCTTTTCCAGAGAAATACTAGAATATTTTAAATTTATGCCATTGTTATTAATTCAGGTCAATTCTTAAATTCAAGTCTGCTGGAATCCTGTGATCCTTTCAGAGTGCTAAATTACCATCTCCAGAGCCTGTTGTGCTGTGTGTCAGCAGAGTATCCTTGTGCTGACAGACATTCTCCACTTTTGTGGTTGTGCTATGAAAGTGAGGTCAGCAGGTAACTTGTAAGGAGATACAGGGGGAGGAGAGAGAATCTCAGTGTAGCCTTCCAAGTTCTGGTGGGAAATTTATGCAAAAGCAGAGGCAAACTTGTCTCCTGTGTGCAGAACAATAGGGCAAGCAGCAGCCAAAGGCCACAAGCAAGGTAAGAAAATCAGTTTCATTAAGCAATGCAAAAGGTTTCTCACAGAGATTAGAATCTCCATCATTAGGGATTTTTAAAACTAAGCTGAACAAGGCCATGAACAAAAATTTCTAATTTTGAAATTATTTCCACTTTGAGTATGAGTTAGAGGTTCCTTTCAGATGACTTTTTTTTTTTATTATTTTTTTGATTGACATTGAGAATTGTTCACAACTTAATTTCTGCTATGATTTTTCCAGGTAGAGGTGCACTTCAGATGCCTAACTTAAAACATGTAAGAATATTTCTAAATGCACATTTAAAATGCCACTTTTGCTAAGTTTGCCTTCTGCCCATTAGGTCTAGTGATTTTCTATCTGCTAAGTAAACATCTTCCTGCAGATAATTCAGCAAAGAGGCATGCATTAAAACTTTCTGTCTGACTTTACCAAGATTACACAAAATAAGCTTCTTGGTGACTTTAAGATTTGCTTATCTTCTTAGATGGTGTTCAGAGTGCTTTTATAAAAGTACCGAAATGCTCAGTCTCCACATTAACAGTCAGATGCAAGATTGCTGCTGAAATACTGTTGAAGATACCTTTGAAATAATATCCTATTTTAGGAGTCTATTAACTCATTTCAATGCTAGATATATGACATGTGATAAAACCTCTACAAAACCAAATCCACAAGAATCTTAATTTTTAAGAAAAAGGCTAGTTAGTTTCTTTTTAATGAAAGGAGGTTAGGACACTATCTGTTTTTCTAGGAGTACTTTGCCAAAAATTCTTTCATTTTCCTTCCTCTAACTCCATGTTTCTCATATCATGGCAAACCTATTTTTATTAATTACTTTTCTGTCTCATAATGATAGTTCTAAACCCACTTTTTTTTGAGTTTGAAGTT